CCTCCACCTGCTGGGCTCTGGCAATCCTTCCGTCTCAGCCTTCCAAGTAGCTGCAGGCGAGCGCTACCACGCCCAGTTAATTTTTGATTTATTGTAGAGATGAGGTCTCTCCAAGTTGCCCAGTGGGTCTCGAACCTGCAGACTCAGGCAATCCACTTACCTCAGCCACTCAAAGCACTGGGATTACAGGCTGAGCCACCGAGCCCGGCTCTGATATTATTTAATCAGAAAACTAGTATCTTCTCCCAATTAAGGGGTGAGATGGGGGATATTTTAAGAGAGAGAAAAACCCAATCCTGTTACATCCATTCAGAAAGACGTGAGAACTTTGGAGTACCTCCTCATTCATGCCTATTCTTAATTCATAATTTATCCAAAGCCAGTTTGATCATTAGAAGCGTAAGGAAGGCCAGGCTCAGCAGCTCAGCCTGTAATCCCAGCACTTTGGGAGACCCAGGCGAGTGGATTGCCTGAGTCCATGGGTTTGAGACCAGCCTGGGTAACTTGGAGAGACCTTGTCTCTACAGTAAGTAAAAAAAATTAGCCGGGCATGGTAGCACATGCCTGTAGTTCCAGCTACTTGGAAGGCTGAGGCGTAAGGATCGCCGGAGCCCGGCAGGTCGACACTGGGGTGGCCATGAGTATGCCGCTGCACTCCAGCCTAGGCGACAGAGTGAGACTCCAACTCAAAAAAAAAAAAAAAAAGCATAAGGAGGTTAACTTTCTTAATCTCAAACTTTGAACCACTTTCCTCCAAAACACTAAGGGCTCAGAACAGGTTCTGACCAGTTGGTTTACACATTATTTTCCACTATTTGTCTCCACTTTATTCTCCAGATAGCGATCATTCTTGTCTCAGTCTCACTGTTCAAACTATTTTCTCTCCCTGGATTCCCTTCCATCTCTTTTCTACTTTCCTGTTTCTACCCATACAGGAGGAACCAGTATTAGTTCTAGATCTATCATGAAGACATTCACATTAACTCCAGTCAAAACAAAATATCCAAATAATAGAAGTGAAGATGTGCTCTGAAAACTCTGAAATGCTCTGCAAATATGAAGTATTATTATCTTATGAAGTAATTAACTATAAATCAGTGTTGACCCATTGTTATATCTTGCTTTACAATGTTTCCTAGTTGTTTAATGTGTTGTGATCTAATATTACAAAATCGCAGCTATTAGGACAGGAATCACATCGTGTTTCTTGCATATCTCATAGTGCCTAACAGTGCATAACTACACTTTAACACTCAATATCAGCAAAAGGAATTAATGAAAATAAAGGTTTTCTGAGCCCACGGGTTCGAGACCCGCCTGGGCAACTTGGCGAGCCCTCATCTCTACAATAAATCAAAAAATCAGCCGGGCGTGGTAGCGCATGCCTGTAATTCCGGCTACTCGGAAGGCTGAGGCAGAAGGATCGCCAGAGCCCAGCAGGTCGAGGTTGCAGTGGCCGCTCCCGGCCACTGCACTCCAGTCTGGGCGACAGAGTGAGACTCCAACTCAAAAAAAGAAAATAAAGGTTTTCTTAATTACTGAGCTCCTTACTGAACCAAATAAGGTTCAGTTGCTGAACACATAAGAAATCATTGGTTAGTTTTGGTGACTGCAAATGAACACTTGAAAGACGTGCAGCTGATGAAATTCAACCATCGTCTATTTTGTTCACAAAGTTATGGTTCAGGAGTTGACTTCCCTAAAACAGAGATTCTGTGCTCCAAGATTTTGAATAGCTTGCTTCATGTTTCCGAATTTTGTTTAAGGTCAAAGGCTTACATACTGCAGCTCTCAAATGTGGTATTGTTTTGATTGTTGTCTGTTTTCCTTACAGGTAGTAGTAGTGGAGCGTGCAACCTTTGTCTTACTTCCTTTGGTTGTCCTGATTGATGGATCTTTTGGTCTAACAGGTCATAGCCTCGGAGCAAAGTCTGGCAAGTTCTAGTGAGCAGTGAGGCAAGAGCCGTCTGCTAAAAGCGCCGACTAGCTCCAGCTGCAGCAGCCTGGCTGCCGAGGATTTAGTTTATTGACCCCAGACCTCTTCCCAGGTCTGTCCTGTGGGCAGAATGATCCTTGTCTCAGTCTATTTCTTAAGGCTAACGACAAATAAAATAAGGCGAGATAAGGGTAAACGAAACTTGGTGTTATTACAATTGGTGCTTCGGACTCGGTTCCCTCCAGGATTGTTAGGGACCCTTAATGACTTGGCCTAAGCCGACTTGTCCTCAAATCCTGCGCCCCACTCGAACCAGTGGGTCGGGGAGTGAGACGTTCATCAGACCTCGGAATAGGCATTCATGTCTGGACTGCTGTACAGATCCCCGAACTTCGAGATGGGTGCTAGCTGGCCGCACTTTTCAGCAGCCAGGATGAGCGATCTCTATGGTGACAGTGAGGGAGGCCGGCAGAAGCCGCTCTTTTCAGCCCAACAACCCGCCCCCAGGCTAGACTGACCAATGGTCGAATGAGTTACGGAAGAGATAATATGATTGACAGAAGGGTGAGGCGTGGTGAGGACCGCCGCTAACCAACCGAACTTGCACTGACAGGCACCGACCAATCGGAGGGCGTAACGAAGTGCGACGTGCCCACCCACCACGCTCGGCGTGCCTCGGGGCTCGTGGCAGTCGTAGGCTAATGAGAGGAAGGTGGGCATTGAAAGAGTGGCGCTGATTAGCAAATCCTAAATCACCTGAATGAAAGCCCACTTGTGATTCGCCCTAAGTAGACCAAAGCCCCGTGGGCTGGAAGAGGCTGGACTGTGAGGTGTGAGTAGGGGCCCGGGGAGAGTGGGAGCCAACTGTGGGGCGGAGGTCAGGAAAGCGGGCTAGGGACAGGACAAGGGGCGACCGCGGACAAGGGAGAAGGGCAGAGGCTCGGGCTGAAGTGGCTAGAAGAAGGCGTGGGCGAATGGCGGTTCACGGATCTCACAGACCACCCTTACCACCGACTGGATCCAAGGCCCGGCGACTGATACATACTTAATTGGGCCCTGTCCGACTTCTGGGAGGTAACCAGGAGAACATGGTGAAGATGAGACATAGGGGCATTGTTTTCCTGTCGCCAGTTTGAATCAGCAACAGGGCATTGTGTCCCAGGCAGCAGCGCTGGGTGATGCGGCGAGAGGTTAGACCGAATCACTGCACCACCCAGGAGAAGCTATGCAAGGATAGGGTCTGGAGTCATTGATCCCGCTTTTCTATGAACGTGTTAAGAGCGGATGCCACATCGGTGGAATTTTGGTAGCTTGGCAACTGATTTTTCCCAGACTTACGTTTTACGTAATTACAACGTTAGAGGCGTTACCTTAATATCAAAATTCAAATGATAATAAAGTGTTTAAAGTAGAAACGTGAAAGCCCCCCCAGTTATCTTTGTAGATATGGAACAACTATAGAAGGAAGTGAAAAGATTCTTCCGAAGGAGCAATTTGCTCCTGTAACCCACTGTTTTCTGTTGCTTTCAAGGGCCTGAGTCAGTGTGAAAATTGGGGAATAGATGAGATACTTGTTGCAGGAGTTTTTAACTTAGTCCAGCAACCTCGGGTTCTTGTCCCACAACCAAGAAGATTAAAGAACGCGGACACCAAAAGGATGAGTGAAAGAAGGAGTTTATTAAGCAACAAAGCTCTGCAGAAAAAGAGAGGGGCCCCCAAATAACCCGCAGTGGGGAAGTGTTCTGGGTTTTTCCTCTCTCCCTTCTAGGGACATTCCTCTTATTTGCGTCATACCCACCTCCCATCCTGCTAGCTTCCTGGTCCCAGCCTTTACTGCCATGTGTGCCCTTGTCCAAAGTTACTCCATCTTGATTATTACCCATAAGTACCACAGAAAAGCCCACCCAGGGGGTAAAACCTAAATGCTAATGTCATGCTAATGGTATTATAATAAACTTAGGTTAAGTTGGGACACTTAGTTAAGCTATTGCGCTTGGGTTCAAGTGACAAAAAGTCCCTGAACAAAACATCCTGGTTTTTTGTGGTTTTTTTTTCTTTTTTTCCGAGTTGGAGTCTCACTCTGTCACCCAGACTGGAGTGCAGTGGCACGCTCCCGGCCACCGCAGCCTTGACCTGCTGGGCTCCGGTGATCCTTCCGCCTCAGCCTTCCAAGTAGCTGCATCTACAGGTGCGCGCTACCACACCCGGCTAATTTTTTGATTTATTGTAGAGATGAGGTCTCGCTAAGTTGCCCAGGCTGGTCTCGAACCCGCGGGCTCAGGCAATCCAAATCGCGGAATTACAGGCTGAGCCACGCCCGGCCCAAAACATCCTGGTTTAAGAGGATGTTTTTAACCACATTGACCACATTTTCAATTGTTAGTTATATAAAGGGGGTGGTTCAGGGGCATTCCTGCAGGTGTTGCTTCTCCTAGAGGCCCTCCCTGTACCTCTGCCTAGCCATTCTCTGACTACCTCCTCTCTCAATACTTCCCACTACCAATAGCACTTGGACCCTATTACCCTCCGCGGGATCCACATTTGACCTAGATAGGAAGTCATCTTATAATAATACCGATTAGTAGTCTCACTCTTGATGATTAGCCTGGCAGTTTGTATTTTTAATTCAGTAGGTTACATGTGCAGGGCTCAGTCACCTTAATGTATTCCTCTCTATTAGTTTTCTCTGAGAGCCAAGTGAAAGGGTAGGTAGAACCAGCCGTTAAATGAATGAAGAATACAGTACACATACATCTAAAAGGTTTAAACAGACTTGCTAAAGAAAGACTTTGTGGAACACTGAGTACAGAGAAAAAAAATCAACCCCATTCGTTGCCCTTGTTGTCAGTTACTAAACAGAATGTTCAAATTTAGATTATTCTAACTCCAGAAAGGAGTCAAGGAAAAAGGTGTTAGAGATGACTGACTCTGGTTTCTAGCTTAGTTGACTGAGCTGATGGTATTGCCCTCAAGAAAATAATTATTTAAGTTTAATTTGTTCTGTTTTGGATATTACACAAATAACCTGTAAGATCTGGACCAACTCTGACACCTGAATACAGGACAAATGGTAGTTGAAGCTGGTACCACTAGAAACTACTTCCACTAGACACCAACTTCCTTGAAGATGTGAAAGGTAAATAAAAACACGATTGTTTTCCTTTTTTATTGTATTTTACTCAATAGTAATAATTTAGGTATTCCGGTTTGGGAGATGATCACAAACATTATTCTCACAATGAAATAAGATACAATGACTAGATGTTCACTCTTCCCATACATCAGTACTCTACACTACACATCCAGGCCTTCCTTTCCATGCTTAGAAAGTAAGTGTTGGTTTGCTTATAAAGTGATGAAACCCATTCTTAGAAGAGAATTTATCTCATTACTTTAAAGTCATACCAAATATGAAACCCAATGTCTCATGAACTTTTAAGCTTCTACGGGGAATTGAAGGGCAATGTTTCTAGTGCTACCAGCTTCAACTACCGTTTGCCCTGTATTCTAGATGTTAGAGTTGGTCTGGATCTTACAGATTATTTGTGTAATATCCAAAACAGAACAAATTAAATAGTTGTTTTCCTAAGGGCAGTGCCATCAACTCAGTCAATCAAGCCAGAAACCAGAATCCTTTCTAATACCTTTCTTGACTCCTTTCTGTTTCTACAGCTAAGACTGGCATTTGGACCCTCGTCGTCTCTTACCTGGTCCTGTTAGGAGCATTAGTCCCCTAATTGGTCAACCATTTCTGATTCTATTGTATCTTCTTATTTCATATGCACTCTGCCCTCATAAAAATTAAGAATTATCACAAAAATTCTAAAGATAAAAAATATTACATTGGATAGTATAACATATTTGTGCTCCACCAACCAGTTTAATAAATATTAACATTTTGGCATATTTGCTTTAAGTTTTTTATTTTAAAGAAATGAGGCATCACAGACTTAGTTCAGATCTCTTTTGTTTCCATTCCAGCCCCATTCCCCTTTCTTCTTCCCCAGAGGCAAACACTCTTCCTGAAACTGTTGTGTATCATTCATGCCCATGTTTTTATTCTTTTGCTGTATATATGTTTATCGTAAACAATATACATTACTGTTTGAATATTTTAATTTAAAAAATACAAGTAGTATTCTGTGGGTTTCATTTTTTTTTTTGAAACCAGGATTTATTGAGAGGACAGAAAACCTCCCACAATGGGAGGGGACCCGAAGGGGTTGCCCCTGTGGGTTTCATTTTGCAACTTGCTTTTGTCATTCAACATTGTTTTTGAGACATATTCACATCAATACATATAGGTCACATTCATTCATTTTAAGTGTTCGTTATGAGTATAAGATATTGTATTCATTTTATTGATCTATTCTTATTGATAGACATTTAGGTTTTTTCCTGATTTTTTGCTGTGATGAACAAAGCTGCAATGAATATCTTTGTACATATCTCTTTATGCAAGGGTTTTTGTATAGCAGTGTTTCTCTAAAGAAGGTAGTACTGTTCTTTAGGGACAATTTGGAATTTGTGAGGGTATATTTGGTTACATTGTGATTGGAGGCATTACTGGGGTGTATAGAGCAGGGCTGGGCTGCTGCATGTTCTGTAGTGCATTGGACAGTCCTCACATTGAAGTATTTTCCTCCAGTCTGTTCAACTTTTGAGTGTCCCACAAGATACTCATTTATAATTATCTGGGCCTAACTACATTTTTCATATAAACATAATGTATTTTTTGGCACCGTTTAATATAGTAAAATTTCCAGGAATGCAACTCTAATGTAAATCAAGGGAAAATTATACTTATTTGTGGTTTGGAACTTTAACAAGAGTTGTTCATCACTCTAGAAAATCACATAACCGAAGGCAGCACAGCTCGTGGTATTTGAGTTGCCAGAACAACACACCTGCATAGTCTGCATTTGTAGCCTTTGCGTTCATGATGATTCTAAGTTTAGGTGCAAGCATCTGACTACTGTACTTCATTATGTATTCTAGTATAGTCAGCCTGAACATTTGTATATTTAAACATATGCTATTTCATTATGAATTACTTTCCACTTAAAATTGGCTTCTATATATGATATAAAGTAGAGATCTGGTTTTATTATTTCTATTGGATAATCGTTTGTGCCAACACTGTTTATGAAATCCTTTACCCATGAAGTATAAAGCCAACTCTGTCCTGTAGGATGTTCTCACAAATGCATGGATCTGTTTCTGGGTTCTCGATTTTATGCCTCTGGGCCATGTGTCTTTGTGCCACTATCACACTGTTTTAATTACTTTGGTTTTTTCATGTGTCTTGCGGCAGTTGGTAACAAGAAAGGCAAGTTGCCATCCTAGTTCTCAAAATTGTTTTGGCTATTCTTGGGTTTTTGCTCTTCCATATGAATTTAGGATCCGTTTTCAAGTTCCACAAAAAATTGTTTTTAGACTTTGGTTAGAATTGCATTGAATTTATAGATTAAGGAAAAGTGAGATCTTTTAATTGAACCATCCCATCCAGGAACATGGGTTATTTCTCTATTCAGGTCTGCTTTATTTCTCTATTCAGGTCTTTAAATATGCATATATATATATGTATATATATATATATATAATATATATATATTTGAATAAAGTTTTATAATTTTAGCTGTAAAAATCTTACACATCTTTTATTTATTCATACATATATATGCATACATCTTTTGTTATGAAAGTTTCAAATATATTCAAAAGTATAGAAAATAGGATAGCAAACATCTACATACTCACCACCCAGCTTTAACAACTAGCTTATGACTGGTCTTGTTTCATATTAGCCTCCTTTACCTCCTCTCCCCTAGACACCATTTTCTGTTATCTATAATATGTTACACATGGGTTTGCATATATGTCTATCAATAACAGTATAACAATACTTTTAAAAAAAAACTGTTTTCACTTAAAAATGAACGGCAATTTTCTAATATCATCAGATATCTAAGTAACTTCAGATTTCCACATTCATCTCTTAGAGGGCTTTTACAATTGCTTTGTTTGAATCAGGACCCAAACAGGGTTCATATATTGTATTTGATTGATAGATCTCTTAGTATTCTTTCTTTAAAGTAAACTTTTTAGTGACAGTGTAACACACATACAGAAAAATGCACAAATTCAAAGCATATATCTAAATGCAATACAACAAAATCAACAAAACCAGGTAGCCAACACCCAGAGTAAGAAACAGAATTTTTTCAGCACCCCAGAACTATACTCCCGACTTCTAGTCCCCAGAATCAGTTTGACCTGCTTTTGAACATTATATAAATGGAATCATACAGTATGAACTGTTTGCCTTTAGCCTTTTTTCACTCAGTATTTGTGAAATTCATCCACAGGTTGGGCATAGTTGTAGTTTGTTCATTTTTATTGCTTTATATTATTCTATTGTATGACAAATAGATTGTATATAGAATACCATACTTTATCCATTCTATTGGTGAATATTTGGGTTGCTTGCATTTTTTTTAGCTATTTCAAATAGGGCTGTGGTGTCTTTTGGTGAACTTATGTGTGCATTTCAGCTGAGAATAAATCTAGGATTGAAGAGCTAGATGTAGGGCACATGTATATTCAGCTCTATTAGATACTGTCAGTAGTCTCCAGAGCAGTGGTTAATTTTTATGCTCTTGCCAGCAGTGTACGACAGGGGACCCCCAAAAAACCAGAATTATCTTTTGGAGCACAGACCCCTTGTAGTACACTTGGAATTTGTTCCTTCTGGTCATACAGTTAACCAAAATTTTTATCTGGAAATTTTGAGAAGGTTGCATCACAATTTGTGGAAGCAGCTTCCTGAGTTGTGTTTAATGGGTGACTGGGTCTTCCACCATGATAATGCACCTGCCCACACTGCACTGAGTGTTCAGCAGTCTTTGACCAAAAACAGCATAGCCCCTGGGCCCACTCTCCCTGTTCACGTAATTTTTCCCCAAGCGTTTTTTGTTTGTTTGTTTGTTTCCCTGGATGAAGAAAGTTCTCAAAGGGAAACATTTTGCTGATGTGGAAGAGGTGAAACAAAAAACAGCAGTAGCACTAATAGACATCAAAGTTGACTGAGTTCAGAAACTTATGAGCAGTGGAAAAAGCATCTCAACAATAGTATTGCATCAAACGAAGAGTACTTTGAAGGTGACTGAAGTTTAAAAATGTAACAATAAATACACAATTTTTTGTAAATAAATTCCAGTTTTTTTGAGTCCTACCTCATATTAGAATTCTAGTTACTCCATATTTTTGTTAACACTTGACACTATCATTTTCATTTTATCCATCCTAGTGGATGTACAGAGGTACTAAATTTTGATTTTCATTTGTAATTTCCTGATGACTAGTGAAGTTGAGTGTCTTTTTACATATTTATTGGTCACTCAGATATCCTCTTTCTAAAGTGTGTATTCTTATTTTTTATCTGCTTGACCCACCAGTTTCTGAGATAGGCATATTAAAATCTCTCACTAAATATGTGGGTTTGTCCATTTATTATAGTGCTTCTGTCAATTTTGGCTTTATATATTTGGAGGTTTTGTTGTTAGCTTCATATTTGTTTCAAGTTGTATCTTTTTGCTAAATTATTATTTTGTGACTGCTCTTATTAATATTTTGTAAAGCTTCATATTTATTTACTTGGTACTAATATTACTTCACTAGCTTATATTTTATTTTGTTTCACTTGTTTTTTTCAACATTGAAAAAAAAACATAAAAATTACCATCTTATCTATTTTTCAGGGTACAGTTCACTAGTGTTAAGTATATTCATATTGTTGTGAAACAGATCTCCAGAACTTTTTTTGTCTTGCAAAACTGAAACTTTGCACTCACTGAATATCTTCCAATCCCCTCCTTCCCTGATTTTTGTTTTGTTCATATTTGCTTTGTGTGTCTTTTTAAAATCTCTTCTTTTTTCAGCCTTGTTTTCTGTGTAGCTTGTATAGAGCTATTTTTTATTTATTTGTTTTTTGAGTTGGAGTCTCACGCTGTCGCCCAGACTGGAGTGTAGTGGCCGCTCCCGGCCACTGCAGCCTCCACCTTCTGGGCTCTGGCGATGCTTCTGCCTCAACCTTCCGAGTGGCTGGAATTATAGGTGCACGCTACCACGCCCAGCTAATTTTTTGATTTATTATAGAGATGAGGTCTTGCCAAGTTGCCCAGGTGGGTCTCAAACCCACGGGCTCAGGCAATTCACTCACTTCAGCCTCCCAAGGTGTGGGATTACAGGCTGAGCCATTGATCCCGGCTATAGAGCTATTTTTTAAAAACTAATGTGAGAATTTCTTTTGATAGCCAAGTATAATCTCTTTGCATTTACTATGATTACTTTTGTATTTAGGTTTATTTTTACAATCTTATTTTGTGTTTTCTATTTTCCTTGCTTACTTTTTGTTCTGCCAGCTACTTCACCACCCCCACCCCTGTGCCTTCTGTTTTCTTCCTTTGCTTTTTTCATTTTACGAGTGTGGAAATTCTTCATTCTGTATCCTTTTTTTTGGTGCTTATCTATGTGTTTTTTTTTTAAACATGCATATTTAGCTTAACAAACCATATAGGTAATCATTAACTCTCTTCTCCAAAGCAAGAGATAACTGTAGGGTGCTTTAACTTTGAACTATCCTTTCCTATCTTCTGTATAACTATTGAGTAATATTTTAGTTCTTCCTTATTTTTACCTGTCAAAAAATTGGTCATAATTATTTTTACAGAAATCTTTACTATCAGTATTTTCTAGTACTTTTCTCACCATTCTTCCTTACATTGCACGCCTTCTTTCTTGGTTCATTTTGCTTCTTGCTGCAGGACATCTCTGAGTAGCTCTTTCACTGTCAGTCTGTGAGAGGTGAACTCCATTTCACTTTTTGAATGTCTGAAAACATCTTTATTTTACACTCTTGCTTGAGGGAGTCTTGCATGCCAACCAGTGGTGCCAGTCCTACAGAGAGGTTTTCATTTTGCCTCTGCTGGGATCCTATAGGTTGCTCACTTTTTAGTCTAGTTTTCATGTTAATCTTTCTGCTTGGGAAAAGCATGTGAGTAGTGTAATTTGAATCTCACACTTGCTTATGATGTAGGGATTGGAGTTCAGATTTCCCTTTTTTCAACCATTGCCTGTGGCACTTAGCTTTTTTCCAGCTAAGTAAGCAGCAAATTTTTTTTTTTTTTTGAGTTGGAGTCTCACTCTGTCTCCCAGACTGGAGGGCAGCGGCCGCTCCCAGCCACCGTAGCCTAACCCTGCTGGGCTCCGGCGATCCTTCCGCCTCAGCCTTCCAAGTAGCCGGAATTACAGGCATGCGCTACCACGCCCGGCTGATTTTTTGATTGATTGTAGAGATGAGGTCTCGCTGCCCAGGCGGGTCTCGAACCCGCGGGCTCAGGCAATCCACTCACCTCAGCCTCCCAAAGGCGCGGGATTACAGGCTGAGCCACCGAGCCCGGCTGCAAATTTTTTAGAACCTATTTTTTAAACAGGCCAGCCCTTTGAGGGCCTAGCCTTACTCATTGTTCTTAGTCCTGGTTCTTTGTATTATGGCCTGAGACTTCATCTGTCCAGGAGAGGACCACTCCGAAGGTCTTTATCAGGTGCCAGGACCCCTGTTGGCCTTTGGGCTCAGCTCCTGCCTACTACTCAGGCTGTGAGCTACATTTTTGTTTATAGTCCTTGACCTATGTCCTGTTACTGCTTTTGAGCTCCACTGTGTATTAAATTCTCCTTGTTCTATTTCATTGAGCATTTCTATGTGTTTGCTGTTGTGTGAGGCACTTCCCTTGTTAACTTCGGTTCAGCATATTGACCAGAAGGTACCATCACCTTTCTAAAACTCAATATGATCCTTATACTCCCTCACTTGTTTTTTGTGGACTCATTAGCACTGCTTTGTTTATTCATCCAACAAATATCTGCACTCATAATCTGTGTGCTGATAACTGGGGTTACCATGGTGAGAAAGAAATGTCTCTATTCTCATGGAGTTTACTATTCTAGACGGAGACACAGAAAATAAACGTGTAAACAAATAAATAAAAATGTTAACTACAATTTGTGAAAAGTGCTCTGAAGGAAATAGAGTGATGGAGAGTAATCATTTATGACATTACTTTAGATAAGGCAGTCAGGGAAGACCTCCCTGAGGAGGTAACTTTTAAGCTGAAATCAGAAGGATGGGAATGCCAGCCCTGTGAATAGTAGAGGACTTATTTGGGGTTGGAAGTTAGTTCTAGGCAGTGGAAACAGCAAGTACAAAGTCCCATAGATGGGAAAACACTTGATATGTTAGAGTTCCTGAGAGGACACCCCTGTGGCTTTAAGGAGGAAAGATAGCTCCCCAGTGGGGTCAGAGAGGCAGGTGGGTGCCAGGTCTCATTTGCTGCCTTGCCCTGTACTCTGTCATCTTGCCACACTGATTCTTCCCCAATGTGCCTGTACCACGCACCTTTTCATAAAACCCTTCTCACTGTTGCAGTTCCCACTGCATTTTGCTTTGACTATGAGTCAGAATGTAATACGGACCATTGTTACAGTGTTCTCCAGTAGAACCTTAAACTGCTGCCAGAAGATAGGTCTTATGGACCACTGTCATTCCCAGCTTGTCACACAGTGTTTTACGTGGCAGGCACATCATAAAAGTTGATTGGATGTATTTTGTTTAGCTGTTCATGCATAAAACCTCCTTTCCAGTACCTTCATCACAGAACTTCTCATAGATAATACTTTCATGGTATTTGTTTAGTTATGAGTAGCTGGGACTACAGGCATGTGCTGTTATGCCTGGCTAATTTTTTAATTTTTGTAGAGATGATGTCTTGCCATGTTGCCCAAGTTGGTCTCAAGCAATTCTCTTGCCTCAGTCTCACAAAGCGCTAGGATTATAGGCATGAGCCATTGTACTCAGCCATTTTTGTGGTATTTAAACCATCAAGGTAAAGAAAGCCAGCAACCTAAGGAGAAATCTGTTTGCTTAAGACTTGTCTCTGACACTGAAAAGGAAAATCGGAGGAGGTACTACTATGGTGATCCCAAAACAGATATGTCCACATCCTAACTCCTGGAATCTGTGAATGTGACCTTATTTAGCAAAAAGATCTTTGCAGATATAATTAAGGATCTTAAGATCATACTAGATTATTTGAGTGGACCCTAAATTCAATGACAAGTACTGTACCCTATTAAGCGACAGGAAGGTGCCGGGTGAGATGGTACATACCTATAATTCCACACTTTGAGAAGCCTTGGCAGGAGGATTGCTTGAGCCCAGGAGTTGGCGACCAGCCTGGGCAACATGGTGAGACCTTGTCTCTAAAAAAAAAATAGCTGGGTGTGGTGGCATACTCCTGTAGTGCCAGTTATTGGGGAGGCTAAAGCAGGAGGATCACTGGAGTCCAAGAGTTCAAGGGTGTAGTGAACCATAATCATGCCACTGCATTCCAATCTGAGCAACAGAGTGAGCCCCTGTCTCAAAAACAAAAACAAAAGACAGGAATGGAGAAAACAAACAGGAGAATGCCAGAGAGACAGAGGTGGAGATTGGAGTTGTGAGTCACAAGTCAACAAATTCCTGGAGCTACCAGAGCTAGAAGGGCAAGGAAGTATTCTCCCCTAGAGCCTTTGGAAGGAGTGCTGTCCTGATGATGCCTTTATTTTGTACTTCTGGCCTCTAGAACCGTGAGAGAATAAATTTCTATTGTGAGCATACCTCATTGCAGTTATACCTCACCCATTCTGTAACATAGGTATAATAATACCTTCCTCAGAAGCTTATTGCTGTGATTAAATGAGATATGTTTGCAAAGTACTTAGCACATAGTAAATGTTCACAAATAGTGATGGCTGTTCTTCTTTAAGGTCTTGGAGTTTTCTTCTTGTGAATAAGAATGGGATGATAGAGTGCGAACTTCCTGTCTTGTGATTGATTGGTGAGTCAAAGCTCCTACTGCAGATTTACCCTGAGAACTTCAACTTCTGCTTTGGCCCTGGAGCTGCAAGGTCCTGGTGCCTTATAGCGGTCCTTAGTTAGGGTGTTGCTTTGATGGAAAGTTGAGCTTTCAACCAGGGGCTGGGGAGAAGAAGTCAAGCTGGAACTCAGATACCAAATTTGAAGTGATGCGCTCATAGCAGAAAGCAGCCTCTCAGTCCCTGCCAAAAAGAGAGGCTTTGGGTTCTAAATTTCTATTTCCCATTAAGGGACTCTGGGACTGGACATTTTTGAAAATTAATGACCTGCACTAAGTAATCCTCCTAACACACCAGTCATCAAAAAATTCCCTGTCATGAGTCTTGGCTTTCTGTATTTGTCTGAATGCCTTCTTAACCTAGGAGTGTGCAGCAGGAAAACGGACGCTTGACCCTGCAGTGCTCAAGGTGGAGGCAGCTGCTGCCTCTCCCAGGATGGCTGGCACCGTGCTCGGAGTAGGTGCAGGCGTGTTCATTCTAGCTCTGCTCTGGGTGTCAGTGCTGCTGCTGTGTGTGCTATTATCCAGAGCCTCCGGAGTGGCTAGGTAAGGCGTTCTTTCCAACTGGGAGTCCCAGGTAAAAGCAATTAGAGGTGAAATTGCTGACACTCATTAAACATTTAGAATTCAGGAGATCATTTTTGTAATTACTGGCAGTTTGAATGAGTTGCATTTTAACCTCTTATCATAAGCATGAACTGTGTTATTTATGCTCTGAAGCAGAGGTGGGAGGAGAGGGAGGTGGTATTTTTCAGTTCTCACTGTGGAGGAGATAGGGGACACAAGAGATGACAAGAGAATCTGCTTTTGCTGCCTATTAAGTTTCTACATGTGTGTGTTTCTTAATTGTTGAGATTTATAGCAGATACTTGGTCCAGTCCCTGAGGCTCTAGACCCAAGCCCAGGGTAACCAAAGAAGCATTTGAGGTTAGGCCATAAACTGACTCTGAAAACACTTTAGGGTTGTACTCTTGTGAAATATGTGAGTATGAAGCAGAGAGTTACAGAATTTTCTAAAGTATTCTGGTCTAAAAACAACAGAAGTGGGGGTGGGGAGGAGCTACTTTGGTTTTTCTTGATTGTGACTTTGGGCAGAAGTAAAAATAATAACTACAAATTCCCATTCGTAGGAATTTGGAATTACCAGGAATAAATGAGAATGGACATAGCTGGTACCTGTCTAGGAAGAAGGGCTTTGGAAAGAAGGGTTGTAGATAGCAGGTCTCTGAACATTGTGAAGGGACTAAAACATAGAATATTGGCCCCAGAGAAGAGCCAATCCAGACCTAACTGATTGGAGAAGAAATTGTAAACAGTGCTTTTAATACTTTGTCTTTCTGACCCCAGGTTCTCCATCATTTTTGTATTCCTTGGTGCTGTGATCATCACCTCTGTCCTGTTGCTTTTTCCCCGAGCTAGTGAATTCCCAGCCCCAGATGCAGAAGTTAAGGTAAAGCCATTGGTTTAATTTTGCCTCCTGAGTTGAAGGCTTGTTTCTCCTGGTCTATACCTCCATCCTGCTCTTAATATTCTCTGACATCAAGTTGCCTGAGATGTGTTAGAAGAATTGTATAGTTCAAATAATGACAAGGGAAGCTTAGAGGGAGCCTTATGTTCCCTTACCCCTTCACTCGAAAAAAGAATCTTACTTGAAATTCTCCCTGCAACCCCACCAGGCAGCTATTTGCCTGATTTGGTTTCATCTCCACTTTGCGTCAAGTTGAATGAGGGTGTGTCGAAAAGCCACCTCATGCCATGGGGACAGAGAAAGGGAAAATGAGACAGGAATAGGCCTGCTCCTGGAAGTGTTCCTGTTCCTGGTATTCTTGGCTTAGAACCTGAGATCCTGGGCTGAAATTGTTGCAGTGCCTTCAAAGTGCTGAGCGACATGCTTTTCCATGGTGTAGAACTCTTCTACTTGTGATGAGAGAATACTTTCCATAGAGAAGAGCAGTGATCTACTTGTGATGTGGAGAGAATGACTTTCATAGAGAAGAGCAGTGAGGAAAGAGGACATTTCTATGGAAAGTGGAAGTTGTAGATCTAGAGAAATTCAGTCCTTACAGTCTTCTAGTATTTCCTTTAGTACTCACTCCTGGGACCATACCTGCCAGCACCCACCTCTTTACATGGATTTTTATCATCTCTCTCATAGTCTTTCTCTGGGAACTCACTCATTCTGGTTCATTTCTGACTTGGGGCTCTGACTTTACCCTGCATGACTGGTCTCAGACCTGTAGGATCTTGACCATGGCATTGACTTCTTTTGTCTCCATTACTCCTCACAGCTGGCCTCTTAACCTCCATTTTAATGTTTTAAGTAGTCATGATGATAATAGCTCACATTTTTCAAAGGATGGCTGCGTGCCAGGTCCTCTGTACACAGCACACCATTTGCATTATTTCATTTAAACCTCAAGACAACCCTAAGTTGGTACTTTTATCCCTATTTTATAGGTAAGAACATTGAGGCTGTAAGAGGTTACGGTAACTTGTCCAAGGTCATGTGTATTAGCAAGAGGCAGAGCAAGGATTCAAGCTGAGGTCTGTCTTCAAAATCTTAATTACTGGGGACTCAACGTATTATCAGGGGTCATCCCGAGAGAGCTTAGCCGTTAGTATTTTGATACTAGACAACAATAGTACACAAAATTATATGTTAAGCTAAAATTGACACATACTTCCAACTCTATCTAGGACTTACCATGGCAAAAGGAAGGAAATTAGTTCTGAAAGCTCCAAGGGAAGTAATACCACACAACTTTAAGGAATCATTGCCATAAATGCCAGGTTTTTTTGGTCAGCATTTGGAAACCACTCAGAGGGTGTGAATACCATCTGTGTGAGCCAGGGGTAGATTCCCACCTCAGTTTCCTTATTTTTTAATGGGGGATAGTGATGTTGGCTACCATATCTCTAGATGTTACAGATGTGAATGTTGGAAGAAAGGCACAGAACAAACACAGTTTTGAAATCAGTCCCCGACTCTCTTGTCATCTGAGTTTCAGACCCAGGAGAGAAGAATGGGGTTTGAGCAAAATATATACATCAGCATGGCCAGTAGAATTGGAGTTCTCATTTTCAGGTTGCGAGAGCTGGCCCCTGCAGCAGCCTGGCTTAATGCTATATCAATAATACATGGCCTGGGCCTTCTGCACCCAAGGCCTGCTAATTGGCTAATTAAAAAGTGAAAGTGTCAAACGAGCAAACATGTAGCCCGCAAGAGACTTGTTCAGTACTGGAGCCAAGGTCAAAGTTATGTTAAAGCTGTTTTATCAAACTGACCTTTGTTGTAAGTTGACTGTTGGGGTAATCTCTGGAGCAGCTGGGGTGTCTGTAGCCTTTTTCTTCTTGGTGTCTTTGGATCTGTGATCATACCAGGGCTTGGGTTGGATAGGTACTTTGCGTATCGCCACTATTGCTGCTGTGACAAATTACTGCAAACTCAATGGCTCACAACACAGGTTTATTATCTTATAGTTCTGTAGGTTAGAAGTCCAAAATCAGCCTCACTGGGCTAAAATCAAGGAGTTGGCAGGGCTGCTCTTTCCTGGAGGTTCTAGGGGAGAATCCATTTCCTTATCTCTTTCAAATTTCTTAGAGGTTGCCTGTATTCCTTGACTCATGACCCTCTTCCTCCACTTCAAAGCCAGCAATGTAACCTCTCGCAGACTCTGCTTCCATCCTCTTTCCATCTCTTTCACTGATCCTCTCTCGCACCCTATTTGATGTGTAAGAGCCCTTGTGATTATACTGGGCCCACCTGGATCAAATAATCCAGGCTAATCTCCCTGTTTGAAGGTCAGCTGATTAACAACCTTAATTCAGCTTCACCATGTAATACATCATATTCACAATTTCTGGGTTCTAGGGGATGAATGTCTTGGGGCTATTATTCTGTCTCCTATAGTCACCTTTCGGGTATTTGGGATTCTCTTCTAGGTACTGGGTTTTCAAAGCTTTTGTGAAATCAGTCAGTCACTTGATTTGTTACTGCTCTATTGGGTCTGTGAATTAAATTGCTTCTTCTTGTCCAAATGTAAGCACCACCATTTGGGAGTATGAAGCTCTCTCTGGCAGTGGACAGTAGACACGTGGAAAGAGCCAACACCAATGACATGGTTTTGTCAGCAAGGACCAACAGCTTTGAGGCCTCAACGATGAGGCAGGCAGTCAATGATTTGGGGCAAGTTGCCCATCCTCTTAGTGTTTCAGTATTTCAGGTAAATGGCTATTTCCCCTATCCCTTGGAATATTAGGGTTCAGAACTTTTCTGTGGAGCATTATAAAGAGTCACTTTTTCATTTTGAAAATGAACCTTCCTGAACTGGCAATAGGTTGATAACTTGGGGGAATTGGATTTTAGGTACATGGGTATTTATTACACTGTTGTATTTTTACGTATGATTAAAATTCTCCATAATAAAAGTGTTTTAACAACAACGAAGCTGGGCTCGGTGGCTCAGCCTGTAATCCCGTGCCTTGGGTGGCTGAGGTGAGTGAATTGCCTGAGCCCGCAGGTTCGAGACCCACCTGGGCAACTTGATGAGACCTCATCTCTACAATAAATAAAAAAATCAGCCGGGCATGGTAGCGCATGCCTGTAATTCCGGCTACTCAGAAGGCTGAGGCGAAAGGATCGCCAGAGCCCAGCAGGTCGAGGCTGTGGTGGCCAGGAGCATACCACTGCACTTCAGTCTGGGTGACAGAGTGAGACTCCAATTAAAAAAAAAAACCAATGAAAATGAGCCTTTCTAGAACCAAGCAAGCTCTTCTTTAACTCTATATAATAGATTTCAGAACATAAAAGACTTCATCCAGGGGGGATTCAAAGTATTTATGAACCTCCTAAATTGAGCCATTTGTTTCCTGTACCTCATTAATCCTTTCTTTACCTTGTGTCTCCAGCTTAGGGAGTTGAGAAGAAGATTCCTTCTTTTCATGTACAGAAGAGACTCAGGGCAGGACATTACTGAAAGTTACAGATCTGAGCAGACTCTTGGCCCATTCACTACAGACTTCAGATTGTCACAGTCAGGGTGCTGAAGTGGTAGTAATTTCATTTTGATGTTTTCTCTCTCCAGATTGTGGATGCCTTTTTCATTGGCCGCTACGTCCTGCTGGCTTTCCTCACTGCTGTCTTCCTTGGAGGCCTCTTCTTGGTCCTAATTCATCACATCTTGGAGCCGATCTATGCCAAACCACTGCGATCCTAGTGACCACTGTTGAGGAAACCAGGGCACTGTTCTCTCCTTTATTGTGAGGTCATTGACGAGCAGAAAGGCACTATTCAGAGCCTTGCTTTTTGACATTCCTTATACCTTAATATCAGAGGAGTATCCATTCATCACTGAAACAAATCTCTTGAGTTCTGACTTCCAGAAACAGGGTTGCAAAATTGTTCCTGTGGGGATGGATTCTTGTCAGCTTAAGAGGATATGGTTGTCTTCTCAGTACCTGTACTTCGGGATTTACATCTGTTTTGAAAGATAAATAGTAACAATGATCTGCTTAGAGTAGATTTTCAATCAAGTCGTTAGTAAATAGATTTTGAGGAAAGTGTCACTTTGGCTTCTTCTGTTCAGTGAAAGAACCTAGTCCTTTTCGGTAATATGTAAAATTCTTAGCTATGAAGTTGGAGTCATTTGGAAAGGAGAGGCACTCAAATTCAAAGGGTTGTTTGAATGTGGTAATTTGGAGGACTTACTCAGTTGTTGGCTATTGACCACTCCATGCATAGGCTTCCACAGAACTCTATGAAGGCATTGAGTGTCATTCTCCTGAGCTCTAATAAGGCAATAAATAACAACCAAAGGACTGACGTTCTTTTCATACTCTTGGCCACAGCTCTCTGTACTTAGTATCTTCATATTTCAGGTTTACTAGGGGATTAGAAGAAAGGTATGGAAATGTTGGTTGTTTGTCTTGCCAGGTATCTCTGGGTTCTTTTTCTTTCACGGTTTGGTGGACTTTAAGGGTTATTTTTTCAGCAAGTCTCTCAAAAGAAGGTGACAATTGGAAACTTGCATTTGTTAGAAGTCAAACTTTCTTGTGGGCTACACAAAGTCTCCTAAGTGCCTGGGAGCTTTGGTACAAGTGTATATAATGTAAATTTACACCTGTCTTATCTGCCAGACCAAGTGAAATTTGTAATTAAATGGAGGGGCTCTGGTCTGGCTTTACTTTTGGAAGTCTAATCCTCACTCCCTAGAGCTATTTGAAAAAGGGTCTTCTGATTTAAAATTAAGAACCAAGAAAACAAGTTGGAAAGAGAACACTGACTAAGCATGTGCTCTGTGCTCTGAGCATGTGCTCCTTTGAAGTTTAATTTTTACCACAGTTTATTATCATCCCTGTTTTTTTATTTTTATTTTTATTTTAGGGTTGTGGGGTACAAGTGGGGATTTACAACATAAGTAGGTTGCATGCAGTTGAAGTTTGGGCTTCTAGCTTGCCCTCACTTCTTTGATAGTGGACCAGGTACCCACTGTGTTGCCACATGCCCTCCTCTGTCCTCCCTCCCTTCCACCCCTAGCAGTGTCCAGTGTCTGCCGATCTCACCCTTGTGCTAGTGTGACTAGCGTGACCCACTTATGAGTAAGAACGTGTGACATTTAATTCTTTGTTTCTGTGATAATTCACTTAGTATGATGGTCTCCAGCTGCATCCAAGTTGCTGCAAAGGCCATGATTTTGTTTTTCTTCATGGCTGCATAATATTCCATTGTGTATATATACCACATTTTCTTTATCCAGTCCATGTTCAGTGGGCGTCTGGGTTGGTTCTATGTTTTTGCTATTGCGAATAGTACTGCAATAAACATGTGTATGCAGGTGTCTTTTTTGTAGAGTGGCTTATATCATCCCATTTTAAAATAGAAAAAAAAAGAATTGAGGCTTAAAGAGATGAACTGACTCATCCAAGCTTCACATAATAGCTGGTGTGCAAGCTAAGTGTGGCAGACTTCACGGCCTGCCTCAGACTGGAAAGAAAACACACCAGGCTTTGTGGAACTCTGGTTGAGAGCTTAAAGAAGGTTAGGCCCCTGCTCCTTTGCTTTCTCTCCTGGTGCCTGTTGTCAGGGTAGAGCGGATGCCCAGTCCTGCCACCCCAGAAGGTACAAAGCTCCAAATCATGAGAGAGTAGTTGACTGTTGAAAGTCACAGGCTGGTGAGGCCAGGTGTCATTTGAACTTTCTCCTTTATATTGCTCAGTTTGGAAAAGCTTTGCAGACAAGGCTTTATATAGAAAGCTTCAAAGGAAATGGTTGCTTAATCTGACCTAGGGCACAGAGGTAAGAAAAGAAGAAATATCCTCTAAACAGATTGAAGGAGAAAAAGGAGAATGCAGAGATGGTGAGGGAAGTGGGGAAGCCAGTGGGTTCTTGCTCCTGTGCTGCTCTAAAGCTCCCAGGTACCTGTGAGTGTCTCTGTGGCCCATGTTCAAGTGTGACTCCTAACAAATACAGGCTGCCAACTGTCACCTTCTTTTGAGAACTCTTGGAAAACTGTTCCTGATCTTTTTATTTCACCAAAAATGTATCTGACTACTAGATCAATGGATAATAACTATGAGCTTTTGGGTGACTATTTAGGTGGAGAAAAATGTGTTAAAGTGGGAACTAAATTTCTTCCCAAACACTACTGTTATCTATTGGTTTTCTTTGCCAGATGTAAATGACAGACTTGTATGCTAAGGGCTGACTTTAGTGGGGGAGGGAAGTATATATTTTATGCAAAGTGTATTTTAGCTTGACCTACCTTCTGTAGATCCCAAGTCTCTAATTACCAGCTGTGGTAAGATGAATGATAGATGACTTTACCTACATACTCAAAGAAGTTACACTCAACCTTGAAAAAAAAACAAACACCACTCTCAGGGTTAGGAAGAGAAGTGGAAGGCTGAGAGGGCATATAGTGAATTTCACTGAGAGTTCCGCATGGGGCATCCGTATAGTCAGTTTCTGATATGGAACCTCTTACACTCATGGCCTCAGAGGACAGGACTCAGAGGGCTTCTCTTAAATACAGACAGGAATCATCCTAGTGTTCCATTAGCTATTCTTTGATCACTGGCCTCAGAGCATGTTCCCTACTATACTCTTCACTACTATGTGGGGGTCCGGTGGCAGAGACTAGGGAACTCCACTCTTTAGAAGGCAGAGAAGGAAAGTAAATCCAGGCTTCTGTATAAGAAAACAGTTTATTCCACAGCCTCTCAAAATTGTGTCCTGACAAAAACTAATTTAGTAGGATATCACCCTACCCCCCAACATGAGAGATCACACTAATCATTTTTTGATAAGTTCCTGAAATTTTTCACTTGTCAAGTGAAAGTAAAGCTAACATTTTATTTGTGCACAGTACCATATATGTAATGTAAAACTGCATCAGAATTTCGTACTGATCTCTAGGTACCAGGGAATGCATAGCCATTCATTCATGTACCCCCCATACACTGCTGTTCATGCAACATTTATTGTGCACCTCATAGGTATAAAGCACTGGTCCTGGTAGAGTCAGTTGGTCGGAGGACTAGGTGTCTAGGCTGTCCTCCTAACTCCATCTTGGAATGAAGGCATCCACATTATTTTAAAATATCTTTATTCTAACATAAAATAGTCCATTTCTTGTTCTGTTCTTTACCACAAACTTTTCTGTCAAGTCTATTTCATGGTTGTTGCAGTTGAAGTGTTTCTGTTTTATTTTTTTGCTCAATGTGTAAAGAAACTTGCTGTAAGTATTTTACAGATGAGAAACAGGCAGAGAGGAGAAGGGATTTGAAGTTTAACAGCTAGTTAGTAGTGGGGCTCAAACTCGACATCAGGATTCCTGACATATAATTTCTCAGTTTAAAGATCACTTTGGACTTGCAGACAACTTATTTTTATATTGGTTAATACCATTTCTTAGCTACTTTGTACCCACCATTTTCCTAACATATATCCAAAAGGTAAAGGTTTCATTAAATAATTCTAATGAACATTTATAGTACAAATAACAAACTATATTATAATTCCTTGGCTTAAACCTTTAAGTGCCTAGCTGTTGTTACATAGAAACGAATTTCCAGATGTGGAATTTAGAACCGTATGGAAACAAATCTGGAAAAGTGTTGATTATTCTCATAGGAGCATAAAAACTCAGGATTGGAAGAGATTTCATAGTTCATAGAGTTCAACCTTTAATCTCTATTTTCATCCCAATTGGAAATAAGTCTAGTCTTCCACATGCTGAAGTCACAATTTTTATTATATTTAGCAAACGTGTGCTGGGCATTTTTCTAAGTGAGTTATAAGTATTAACTTATGGCATCCTCGTATCAGCCCTATGAAGTAGGTACTCTTAATATCCCCCTTTCACAGATGGGCCACAGGCACAGACTGGTGATGTAATTTGCTCACAATCACTCAGCTAGAGATAATTGAAGTCAGGATCTGAATCAGGCAGTGTGGCTCCAGTTTCTTTCTTTCTTTCTTTCTTTTTTTTTTTTTTT